AAAGAAGATAAAACAGCCCGGGAAATTTTACTTATGGAGTATTTCACTTACTGACTGCTCACAGAGCCAGGTTTCAGTTCACAGCGTCCGCATATAAAAGTAGTCATGGCACAACGTCTTCCCAGTCTTTAGGTTATGATCCAGCCAGGAGAAAAGAGAAGCAACATAAAACCAGGTGTTAACAATCAGAATTTTAAACCTAGCCCAGTCCCCAACAATCACTACCACCATCTAAAACCAAATCACAAATTACACACAAATGTTCACAAAGGCGGTAGAGGCGAGCTGCATATCATGTCAGCCGCCACTAATGATGTGCGGCTGGGCTTTTAAACTCTCTTCCTCTGATGCTTAAACGGCTACAGGTGTGTTGAGGACGGGAAGGATCATTGCCGCACCAATAGGAGAAGCCGGCTGTGGAGTTGGAGGCTCCTCCTCTCTCCTCCGACCAATCCCGTTACAAAGTTCGTGCAGGCTGATTAGCATAGACAAAACACACTTTAAAATCCAGGTGAACATATTTTTATATCATGCAGAAAGTTAAACAAGAGCAGAACTGATGACTTAATTACGGAAGATTGCGCCGGTAGAGGATAACATTAAAAGTACTTGAACATTCCTGGAGAACTTTGTGTTGTTCCTGCTGCTCGGTGCGTGTACTTCATTCCTCACGTTTCAATCTGTACAAAAGACATTACTTTCAGTTTCATTCGTCTAGAGACTTATCCTTACACTGACCTCTGTCACTGCAGGTGTCCCTCAAAAAGCCTTTTGAAGCTGTCACGACTGGCCACAATAACCTCACACTGATGGTTTCAAACAAAAATTTGTCCCAACCATAGCAAGACATGTATACACATGTACATGCACTTACAGAAGTTGATCTGCAATAAAGCTATACCACTATATCCCCATATAGATGATAGCATTCTGTGAAGCAGGTGCCATTTGGTTCTGCAACATTAGATGAGATGCATATGGCACAAAAATGTGCAAGGGGTTTCCAAACCTTAAAACCATTAAGTCAAGTACTCTTGCCATGATGTTAAATGAGAAAAAACTACTTACAAAGACTAACACACTATTTTTAGTCATTTTTCCTTAGAACATGGCAATTTTCACATGTCCATATGAAACAACTTGACATTTGTATCTAAAATATCACCAATAAATGTAATGTTTCTTATCAAACCTTTATTATTGTCAGGATTATATGTGTGTCCCTATTTACATGAGATATTTATTTTTAATCAAAAAATACTTTTTTGTAAAAATGATTTACCGCCCCGTCACACTAACATATTTTGTCTATAAACAATATACTGTTGCTTTTAACTGACATCACAAAGAGGAAGTGACATCAAATGTCTAAACAGATGGTCTGTCCTCTCATCAGAGGAAGCTGAACTGGAAGTGGTTTTCTGGCATCATCATCATCATCATCACCATCATCACCATCATCACAGCCCATTTGAGAACTAAGGATGTCCGTGCAGTCTCCTTTGTCCATACATGAGGTCCTCCTTCTGTGGGCACCAGTCATTCAGTTTTCAGTGTGGATTCCTTTGAATGACAGTAAAAGACAAACACTTTAGTTCAGACATGGTGGATCACAGTTAATCACACACATATACCAGCTGTCGGGACAGGTGCATGAATACCTGCTTCAGTTGAGGACTCCTGTGTATGAATTCACAGTATTAAATCACAAACCCCCACAAGATAATGTTCTAGTATACATTGTGTATTGTACTCGATACGATACCAGCGAGAAGAGGACACAGAAAATAAGTTAATTAGATAAACCTGAATGTTTTGCTGCATGTGGGAAAATTCTATCAGCGACTGACTTTTTCTAATAACATGAGAGTGAGATAAGTTAAACTATATTATCTATTATATATCCTTGTCCTGCAAATGTTTGCATGTTTGGGACCAGGTACGGTTAGCATAACAAACAGCTAGCTAGGTTAGCAAAGTGTTAACTGTCTCCGTTCTCCGGTCAAAGCACGTAGGGAAAAAACGCACTAGCTTTTTCACTAGCATCATACACATTAAAACTGTAGGACGTTCAGAAAATAAACATTTACTTACCGAAAAAAACTGTATATCATCATCATCTCTCCAGTTTGTTAGTGACGAAGAATGAGCCATAATTACTGTGAACCGAAAACTCATTAAAACTAAATAACTAACAGCAAAACTGTCAGTGCTAAATTATTCTTCGACGGACAAATATTGAGAAAAATAACATTCAACACAACTGATTCAATACGACGAGCACACGACCCAAACTCTCCTCCGGTCACTGATCCTCCGGTGATCGACCTCCTGGCCTGCCGCGTCATCTGATCAAGCATTGCAGACCAGGTATATCAATCAAACAGCCACGCCCCCAAAAATAGACCTACCTGTTTTTATCTATCTAATTAATTAGATGATGATTTTCAGGTGGACCACCAGAACACTGAACAAGAAGTGTGTCAAAACTCAATGAATACTGCAATACCCAATTCTTCTTATTGCCCAGTATACTCAGACAGTTTTTAATGGCAGATAGAAATATTTTCAGAAGTTAAAGTTAATTATTGATATTTTGTCTATGCAGGAACAAAAAGTCTCTGAAATTAAGTCGACACTTGCTAAAATACCACCTGGCCCCAGATTTACTGTGTGGTACTTTATCACATTAATTATGTATATGTATCATATAAGCACAGAACTGAAATAGAGAAGGTCTTAAAACTACATTTTTTACACAGGGATCATTGTAAAGACAGGGTCTCAAGTCCTTGTTGTGTTAGTTGACAGTGATTTAGTGGTGCACAACTATATCAGCATAAACCAGTTCAAGGTTTGGACCTATTGGGACTCTGAGGTTCTCAGGGGCTTGTTGCCTGGTTAACCCTAAATAAAAAGAACAGCCTCTCATTCCCAATCGAGCTGCACGTATGGATATATTGTTCGGGGTTTCTCAAAGCTGCGGGACTAGTTACGTGCTGAAATTTCCATATGGAAGATGAATAAGACAAACAAGTATGCAAAATAAAATGCTATTGCATTGCAGGCACATAACTATAAAATTCCTGAAGAAATTTTGCGCTTCTACAGCTCAGGACACAAAACTGTGATTCTTATTTCAGCTTCACTTTAGTTTCTATCTTGTTTGAAATGCTGTTTCTCATTTTTCTCCCAAAATTCACTAGACGACGACAACTTGAGACATAAGGAGATACCCTGCTGAACTCCATTCAGTGTTTTTAATGGCTCCTTTTTGTTGGAAAATTGTGATACTTTATGATTAGATAAATATAACTGTCCTAAAGAGAACCTGTATTGTCCTGAAGTGAACTTTTCATTATTTTGACATTGTGTTTGTTTTCAAGACAGGAGTTGTCAGAGAGGAGTGCAGTGACCTTCGCTGTTCTTCCTAGCTACTGCACCCACACATTAGCTATGATAAGGCATGAATCAAGTCTCTATTGTGTGTATCTCATATCAGCAAAGATGTGAGGTCACTCTCATATGTTCTGTGTATAAATCCTGCGTGTATTTTGTATTCTTTGAACATTTGCATTGCAAGCTCTTGTGTGTAACTTGTTCCCTTGCTGCAAGAATAAATATCCTACTCTTATAATTTTCAGATGGTTTTCCTGAGTTTATTTGATCATTTTCCTAACAACTTGGTCCTTCGAGCCGGATCTCATATAAAGGATGTAAAGAGAGCGATGAGAGTTTTCTCTATTGTACTTACTTGCCTTCATCTAGTTGTTTCAAATGGATCTCATGAATGTTCTGACCTCGTCTGTTCTGAACCTCAATGAGACCTCCCATCAGCTCGCCTTAACATTTTCATGTTAGTTAAAAAAAATTCACACTTACAAATGATTGGCATGTTAGCAAAAAAATATGCAGACAGCAAGTAACTGACAAAAAATAAACAATTGTAATTATTAAGTGAATCGGACAGATATGTTGCATAAATTCACATGCTGCATTTGTGGATGTGTCATCTGAATCATCAGTAGTCTGATTTCACCTGCACCGACCTGTCATAAACATTCTGTACAAATGTTGAATACTTTCCACTCTGCCAATATTTCTTTACTTAAATATGCAGTTATGTTCTAACTATCCTGTGTATACTACCAGTGTTTTGTAACTCATTGTAAAATCTCTTCAATTAACAATTTCTTGATTTTGCTGTCTGGATTAACTGGGTGCCATTTCTTGTTTGCGCTCTGTGACCTTTAACCGTGAGGTCAAAACAGGGCTCGTCCGGGATTTGAACCCGGGACCTCTCGCACCCAAAGCGAGAATCATACCCCTAGACCAACGAGCCACCTTACGTTCTTTTAAGTCGATCGACAAGCACCTAAAATCAATGGGACAGGTATCGTGACAGGCTCGTCACCCAGAGCTCACCTGACTGAACAACACCGGGTAGTTGTCACCGAGCGGAAAACATAACAGAGACCAACAACCACAGGAGCTGAAATAAATGACATGGCCATCTGACACTTCAGACAGTAATTCACTCTAATGTAATACCAGGATCAAATTTAAAGCCATTTGATATGAAAAACTGATACATGCTGTGAACAATTTTTTAAAATTGTATTAAGGTAATAGTAATTATTATGTAATAATATTAACCTTCATCTGTGCGCACTTGCAAATGTTTAAAAGTATTTATAAAGTATATTACAACATATCCCATACACTGCATCACCAAGGGGCACGTCTGATATCCATATTTTATAGTTATTTTAAAAATCTGCTGTAATGATATGTATATATGAATTTTTGACAACTTTTTTGCAATGATCTCTTAAATTTAGTTTTCATATATCTTCTTCTCTTTGTGCTGTTCATGACTTCAAAGAAAGCTATAACAGTATATGTCCATGGTGATATCACAGCCACTATATCAGGGTGTGTTCATCGGTTGCCTGCAAGGCAGAGCTCAGGGTGAACTGATCCTAATGTTGTTCACAGCACACGTGTCCTACATGCTGTGGTTAGCCTCGAGCTAGTTTGCTAGTACCAGCGCTAAAATGGCAACAGAACCGAAACGAACCAAGGTCACAACTTTATCATTTTAAATCTGAAAAGGCAGCAGATAATGCATGTTATATTTAGCTGCACTGTACCCGGTCAGCTATGTGTGTAAATAGCTGCTAGCGGTGCACGCTATGGTGTTTGTAACTTAGCTTCATGTGTTAGCTAGATGAAGATGTCAGTGGCGTTAGTCTGTGCGTGTATATTTGCTTGATATTTGCACAGTTTTAACAGTCATGGCAACAAATGTCATTTCCTTGAATTTATAACCTTTGAGTTAATTTGAAACCATATGGGCTGTTACACAAAGCAGCCGTAAAGTAAGACAGTTGGACAACCCCTTGACATCACTGTACCGTTGTGATTGTATAGCAGCTGTTATTGAGCGGCTCCAATAGTGAGAACCAAGTGCACCTTAGCGATGCTCAAGTTTTTATCCATGTGACTTTTGCGGACAGGTAGATGACGGCGGCTCACAGCTCGGTCCCCTGGAGACTTTCCTACAGTGGTGCGATAGAGTGGGTCTGGTACTCAGCAATAAGGTATGTTATCACAACCTGCACCAGGACCCTGTCAGACAGACAGACAGTATCATCCCACTGTCTGTTTGACAGCCAGGAAGTTCATTATCTGCAGTTTTTATTTTTCAGTATTTAATGTTTTAAAGGCTGGGTTGCAGTTTTAGGATGGGTGCCTCTCTCTGCAGGTGTATGTGAGTAAAGAGGGAACAGTGTCAGAGTATGGGATGCTGGCTAAGGACAACATAGAGGAGGGGGAGGTTTTATTCACCATCCCCAGATCAGCTCTTCTCCACCAGGGGACAACTAAGGTCTCTGCCCTGCTGGAGAAAGGTAACCGTTACTACAAAGAAGTTTTTCTTAACATCAAAGTTGCCTGCATCGTCCCTCTGTCTGTAACTCCTGTGTTATTCCCTTTTTCCTTCACAGAGAAGTCATCTCTGGAGAGCCCTTCAGGCTGGGTTCCCCTGCTACTGGCTCTGCTGTACGAGTACACATCCTCACAGTCCCACTGGAAACCCTATCTCTCTCTGTGGACGGACTTCAAGACACTCGATCACCCCATGTTCTGGTAAAAAAAAAAAAAAAAACCTGTTTCTAATCAGTGTCTAAATCCCATCTGAGAGGTCACTTGTCAGTTAGTGTTGTTGGTAAGAGCTTTGTCCTTGATTTTTTTTCTATTGAAGTGTGAGTTTATAGCTTCATTAGAGTAATTTAGAGTCCATCTGTTCAGGTCTAAAGAGGAGAGAGGCAGACTGTTGAGGGGAACAGGTATTCCAGAGGCTGTGGACAGAGACTTGGCTAACATCCGTAAGGAATATACAGACGTGGTCTTGCCTTTCATCACCCAGCATCCTGACCTCTGGAACCCCAGCACACACACTCTGGAGCTTTACACACAGCTGGTGGCCTTTGTTATGGCCTATAGGTGAGTGAGCACGAGACACTCACATACATAATGTATCTGGATCTTTTTTTTTACCTCGTTGTCCTGGGTTCTGAAATCTGATCTGTTCCTTCATGTCTCCTCTCTCTCTCTCTCTCTCTCTGTAGTTTCCAAGAACCACAGGAAGAGGAGGAGGAGGAGGATGATGATGAAGAGGAGGATGAGGATGAGAAGGCCCCCAACCCACCTATGATGGTTCCCATGGCTGATATGCTAAACCATGTGTCCAATCATAACGCTAATCTGGAGTTCACACCGGTGAGTTGACACATCCACTTTAATATCGATGGACTTTTTTTTAGTTGGTAGCAGTTGTTTGTTGTTTAGTCTGCCAGAAAAGCTTCTCACCTGCGAAGACACACACCTGAGAAGTGAGGAAGCATGTTTTTCTTCAATAAGAAGTAAACTCTTCTCTCACTTTATCTTCTTCCTAATTCCTTTCTCATTCTCTCTGCACTCCATCTCTCTCAGGACAGTCTGAAGATGGTTTGCGTGCGCCCCATTCATAAGGATGAGGAGGTATTTAACACCTATGGGCAGATGGCCAACTGGCAGCTGCTTCATATGTATGGCTTCACAGAACCGTATCCAAGCAACAGCAACGACACTGCTGACATCCCCCACACCAACCTCTATAAAGTCGCCACACAAGGTGATTGATAAGTGCCCACAGAGTCTTCAGAAGAGGCTCGTGTTGAGGAAAGAAATGAGTTTACAGAGGATGTAGGAAGCCTGTAGCTTGCATGTTGCCTAAAGATTATTGAGTTTGTCAGATTTATTTACAACATTTGTTATATGCACACACTTTTTTTTAAAAATTGCTCCAATAGAAAGCATGGATAGACCACTAAAGCTCAGGCCATTCAAGAGTGAAAATTGAGACGAGAGGAGCGAGTGAGCTGTATTCATTTATCTGTGTGAAAGGTTTTCATGGCCGTATCGTCATTGCACTGTGATTTTATGAACTAAGATAACTTATGGTATATGGGCCAAGAGTGTCACTGATAGTTGTGTTTTTCATCTTTGTCTTTTGAGGCATGTTGTAGGTGTAATGGTCAGTTCATTTGATGATACTGAGATTAATTAGTTAGACTTTGCAGATCTGTTTCTTTCTAGCAGGGGTTTGTTTTGGTGCCTGTATGTGTATATGGGTGGAAATAAAAATGTGGACATAGTTGTACATAGATGTGGACATTATATTGTCTCAATCAGTTCAGAGGAAAATAAATGATTTTCTTATCAGAATCATAGCAGCAGAGTCCAACCCTTTCAGATTCATTTTTTTTTTTGAATTGCCCTTTAATTCAGTTGAAGACCCTCACTCCTAATCTTTTCTTTTTCTTCTCCTCTCAGGCATTCAGTCTGATTTGGACCGGCAGCTGGTGGAGGAGCAGTGGAAGATGCTGTGTCAGATGATGCAAGAGAAAGGAGCCTTTGTGTTTGGTAAACAGGGCTGCCTTACAGACATGGAGCTACATACTGCACTCAAGGTGAGGGAGTACATACAACAGTGCTGCTGTTGATGTTTGTAAACTGAACAAAACCACTTTGTTAGGGATGAGTAGTTGATGAATGGCTGTTATTGGAAACATGATTCTTGCTTTGTGTATCATCAGGTGCTGTGCATGTCAAAGGAAGAGTTCTCAGAGTTCAAAGAAAATGAAGGATGGGAGGAAGATGACGAGGAAGACGAGATTTCTCTTGCTTTCTCTAGCGAGGGTCTCCCAGAATTAAAGGCTTCATGGAAAAAGCTGATTCATGAAGCAGCCCGTCTAACTCTGAGGTCCTATGGAAACGGGGAGGAGGAGGGGGTCACAGACAGCGACCGGGCACTGATAGAGAACAAGGTGGCACTTGCTGGACTGAGCACCAGGCAGCAGAATGCACTGCAGGTACAATATGGACAGAAGAGAATCCTGTACAGACTGATGGAGCTCACCAAGTCATGAGTTCAACTGTGACAGGGACCAGGACCAAAGTGGAAGGTCTTTTTTTTATCCTTAGAAGAAAACCCATTTACTACAACTTCCCTTTCAAAACAGTCAATAAATGTTTTTCCAGATGACATTTTCAAGTTCGTTTTGTACTGTTGCTGACAAAATATGTGTATGTTTTGCCACTTCGACAAAGTGTAATTTGTTCTGGTCTGCAACCACCTTTTTGCTAAATATGAAAATTCATCTGCAAGGGGAAAACCACTCGGACACATCCACCTTCATCTCAGAAAGACAAGTGTCTCCACGTCACATCTGTCCTCAGACTGGGACATGGAGTCTACAAAACTCCAAGATCAACTCAGTCTGTGACAGAACAGTCTCAGTCACTAGATCAATTTGCATCTCAGTGCAGTTTAAAGAAGAAAAAAAACAAACTCATATGCAAAAGGGGAATTTGCTATAGACATACAGCAAACAAGCTAAAGAATTATTGAAAACATTTTGTATAGAAATTTTTTTTAAAGTTAACCACTGTAGATATTGGTTGGTTGTTAACACTGGATAACCTACAGCTTCAAAACTGTACATGTTATTGGCATTTGAGTTAACATTTTCTGGTTTTGTAACCATAGGAGCACTGGCAGGTAATCCAGTCCTCTGGATATACATGAAGCAGAACATTTCACATTTTCCAATAAAAAAAAGATATAAAACCTTCACTCAATGCAAATATTTAAGTATGACCTGCACCCGACTCTGGAAATCTGAGTATTTTATATGAATTATGGTTTTCTAGATACTAGAAGATACCTTGTAATCGAAACACCTGATATATTAGCAACATCATCTTACTTTTGTAGTCCTAAAAGAACACAGATGCGTTGCAGTTTGAATGCTTTATTTCCTGTATGTATGCATACTGCAGTTAAGTAGCAAGAACTAAAGGCAAACTAGAAAGGACTACAAAATACAACACATGGACCAATACATTTACAAAACATTCAAAATGTTACAAAATGGGCTGTATTGGTCCTTCTATTGTTGTTCTTCAATTTGGATCTTTGTACAAATTGTCAAGATACGATGTCACCATCACTTTGCACAATTTTACAAGTGCCAGGGAGAGACGTCCAGAGCCAGTTTGGACAAACCATCAGCAAACTGTCTCCACCAACACACCAGGAGCAGACCCCCACCCCACCTGGCAGACTAAACTACATCTTCCTGTCCCACTCAGGGATAAAAAGGAATCAAATGAAAATAGCAGGCAGCTTTTTTCTTCAATCATCTACCATTCAGCCTCTGAAATCAAAACAAAAACGGTCTGAAAAAAAGGATCTGTGTGGAGAGAAGCAAACCAAGGACTTTGGTAGTGAGTGAAAATATGTTAAGATGTCTTTACATGTCAGGATACATTTTATTTGACATGTGAATTGTTCTCCACTTATTTACTCTCCCGTTCTCCCTTTTTTCAATATTTACATCAAAGCATCAAAAAAGTATATTAAACAGCATGTCCCAACCCATTCTCTCCTTCTGAATTCAGCCCCAAAGGGATAAACAAAAATCTAATCTTTAGATCCGTGAGCAGTAGTCCTTTCAGCCACATTTCAAATGACTGTGGTTGCCAGTTTATCCAGTGCCAACATGTGTGTGGTGGGGGAGTGGGTCAAGGCCGCGGCATCTCTCCCAAGGGCTACGAGCTGGCTGGTGCACAGGCTAGCTGGCACCGGTGCCTTCCATCACCTGCTGGGCCTGCTTCTGTCCCATGCAGCACTGGGCTACTGACTGGAACAGCCTGAGGACAGAGGGGAGGGATAAGACATTAACATCAGCAGAACAGTTCGAAGGTAAGGCTGACAATACTTTATCTCTTTATTATAATCAACATTCTCCATAAAACAGCAATGAGTTTTATTCTTGTGCAGTTCCTGTATTAAGTACGAGTACAAACAGGGAACCTACTTTTCAATCTCAGGGGCACAGTGCACAAAGTCGTGGCTCCAGAACTTGAAGGCAGGATTCTTGATCAGCTCGATGAAGGTGATAAGGAGACCCCATGGGTGAGGCCTGTTCACTATCAGCCGCTCCAACAGAACCCTGGAGGGGAGGGTGAGGGGCAACGCTTTAACTAGCAGCACTTGTACTTAACTTCAACTTGGTGATAGCTGGATGTATTCCTTCTTTTGAAATGATAAAGTCACTCAGACTCACCTGGTGATCTGCTCCTGGATGGCCTCTGTGTTTGCCTCAGCAAACAGATAGAGCATAGTGCAGCTGAAGTAGTGAGTGTGGCTGTTGGGGTATCGCAGCTGATTGGCGATTGCATTCAAGAACAGGTAACGTCCTGAGAAGATATGACAGCAGAAACCTGATCAGAATTGTCTGCTTTATTGCAGAATTTCTCAAATCTACAACAACAAAAAAAAAAAAACTTGCTGCTACCAAGTAACACTGGAGCTTTAGAGACTGACATGTTGAATGTACCTGCAACCCACACAGGGTCCCAGCTAATGTCAAACTGTCTTTACAGATGGTATAGGAAGACAGCCTGAAGGTTTTAGTGCTGACCGACTGCTCATCTATTATTTGACAGAAAACTGATACATTTTGTTTGCTGCTCCCTTACCCTCAGTGTCCAGATCCACAGCCAGGTTCTGGAAGATGTCCATGTGTGCAGAGTGAGTGATCGTGCTCATGGAGGGGCTGCTGCCCTTGTTGTGGATGTGAGCAATAGCCTGTGTGCCTACATACAACACTAGAGCATTGATCAGCTGGATGTTGTAGCGATTTCCTGGCTCATTGGACACCTAGGACACAAAAAATAAAAATTAAAAAGTTGAATACAAAATTGCATTGTCATTAATTGAAGTATTTTTGATACTGTAGGTGGTGCTTGTAACAATTACATCGTCGAATAGATGCCTGCCTACCTGCAGGTTGCTGCGCAGTTCGGACAGGAAAGTGACCGGTGATCGGGTCTTCAGGTACGAGTCCAGATCCTTCTTGAACTGGGAAGGCATGACGCCTGTGAAGTTGGTGAGGATACGGGGAGCGATGTTGATCTCACTCAGCATGTCCACCTGCAGAGAGAGAGGGGTGGGGATTGATAAAGGACAGACTTATTAGATCAACAATTGATCTTGAGTCTTGTAATCAATGTTCAAACAAAGCAAAACACACCAGACTTTAGGCTGGAAATGCCCACCACGCTTCTCAGAGTGAGAGACAGAGTGAGAGTGAGAGAGAGACTCTACCTTGAGATTAGGTGTGAAAGGGTCAGGGAGCCTCATGTTGCGTGGAAAGGCACTGAGGATGAGGTTGCGCAGCTGGATGCAGTTGGGTGGAATAACATCACAGAAACCATAATGGTAGTCACACAGGAACTCTGGGAAGTCATGCAGCAGGACCAGGAGCACTCGCAGTGTGCCCTGAAACAGCCAATAAAAAAAAAAAAAAGACAGGAGGAAAAACAACATTAGTTTCACAATTTGTTAAAACATTTATTATTTAACAGGAAACATCTGCACATTTACCACAAAAACTGACACTGCTAAAAACACTTAATGTAATACTTGCTACTAAATAAGTCAGACATTCTTCAGCCAGTCAATCAAGTGTCATTATATTGGCATTGGTCTATCAAGGTATCACAAAAAAAGTATTGCAGTATATTGGGCACTTCACTGTGTTTGTCAGTTGTTGACCGTTTCAGTCAGAAATTGACTGACTGGAAAAAAGTACTTATTATTAATTAATGACTTAATTTCTCATAAGTCATCTACAATGCCATGTTTCAGTGCAAGGTTAATCAAACAAAAAAATGGGCAGAAACTGTCAAACTTGTCTGATATAGGCAGCTGTTACTAAGGAAAAAGGAGAGAGCACCTTGTAGAGGATTTGCATAGGTTTGTTGAGCTCTACATTCCTCAGGAAAGGGGCCAGGTACTTGAAGAGATCAATCAGCAGCTGTGCGTACATGGGCCAGCCCTGGAGGACAACACGAGTCAATTAGATCAAAATCAAAAACCACAAAGATGGGGAAAGCAGCAAGATTTGTCTCTGAACAATAATGAATGTAAGCTTTTAAAAGTATGTGAAAATTAGATTCTTGTGTACCTTCTGCTGTGGTGTGTGCGCTAGCATCCTGGCAATGAAGATGCGATGGGAGATGAGTTCCAGCCAGGCGTACACAAAGCCAGGTGCTTTGGTGGGTCTCAGGATGTGGAAGGTATTGCTGCAGATGAAATGAAAAATTAAATCCAAATCAAAGTGCAGGTAACATACAGACAAAAAAAAAAACATTCAAAACGTCTGAATTTTGAGGACAATATCAGCACTAGCCATTCATCATTTTGACCTACAAACAGAACAGTTCCTCAGCGGGAGGTAACTGTTCAGATGTGGTTGTTGAACGTGGATGTCTTACCAGAAGGCGGTGAGGGTTTGGAAGTTGATGGTTTCCAGGACATGTTCAGGGGCATTGAGCTCCAACAGCAGCATGATAAAAATGCGGTGGTATGGCAGCTGTTGGAATTCTGTCTGACGGACATCGTGGTCCTGGATCAACACCCCAACTACAATACCCAGCACCTAGAGGCAGAATGTAGAGTCAGAATCAATTACGGGCATTGTGTGTGTAATACATCACCTTATAACGTCTGTTTTTATGTACGTCATGTTGCTGTACCTTGTTGAGGAGGTTGATTTTTGTCACTGTATTGGTGGCCTCTCCAGAGTGTTTGACCAGCAGGGCTATGAGCCTCACAAAGGCATCCAGGTTGTGGTAACACTTGGCTCTGATGATGGCTGCACTGGCTGCTGGGTTGTGCTGCTGCTCAGCCTGTGCCCGATAGCTTATCTCCACACACATTTCTGTGCACAGCCGGAAGAACCTCGTGATCAGGTCATCTGTCTTCAAGATACCCTGCTGGTGCATCTGGAGAGAGAAAAGAGGGAAGACGTGGTAAACATGAGGAGGAAAGTCCTGGTTTTTGAGCATTTTTACTTAAGTGATAACTGAGTGTTTACCTGGCCAACAAAGGCAGAAAAGGCTTTGGTGCTATCCCTGCCAGCGGCAGCTGAGTGATAGAGGTTCACCCACTCCCTCAAGAGGTACTCTGCCTTCTCCCTCAGGCCTGGGGGATCATCATATTCTGAAGCCTGTGAAATCCCAGAGTGCATCATAAAGTTGGGTCCACCGTGGGCCCGGTCAATCATGGCTTCATAGTTGGAGCGAACAACATCCATAAGCTGGGGAAGACTGGGAATGAGGAGAAAAAGAACACAGTTTTAAAACACAATTGAATTCGGGAACTAAAAGGGTCTGTGCACATACACTACTAAGTCTTGGGCAAAATTCGAAATATCAGAAAATCTACAATGAACTGGTAAACACTACGTGGATTAGACTCGATGTGACCCAAGAAATCTAGTAAAATGTTTGCTATGCGAGAGGGTCAGTGTTGCAGATAATCACAATATGGTCGCAGCATTGGGGCTTCTAACTATTCCTGCTATCAATGTAGCCATATTCTGAAACAGAAACTTGTGGTCTATAGATACAACAAATGAAAAACACATGTTTTATCACTGTACTAGTTCTTTACCCCTCGGGTGCGTTGGCTCTGGAGTGTGCACAGGTCCTCATTAAAGTCTCAATTGTGTGAAACAGATCAGCCTCTGTGACATGACTGACACTGCGTTCATCCACCAGCAACAGCTTCACCAACTGCATGGCAAATGCAACTGCCATGTAGTGCAATCCATTTTCCATTGACT